TGCAGTACATTAATTTCTTTCTAGACTGAGCATTGCTCAATAATGAGTCTCTCTCTCTCTGGGTGTCACAGTACACCTGACTCAATGATTTATTATCTCTGAAGCTGTGAGACACTAATGACTTCATTTAGTTATTTCTCTTAAAAGAGAGTGAAGTCAGTCACAGCTCTGACCTCTCTGTGCAGCAGAACTGAGGACAGAGTCTCTGCAGACACCACCACACATGTACGGAGGCCCAGAAGGGACGATGGAGCAGCTTCACTTTAGGAGAAGTCTGGATTTTATTTTGAAGGAACCAGCCAGCTTCACTTTAGGAGAAGTCTGGATTTTATTTTGAAGGAGGAAGCTGCTGACTCTGTCTTTAAAGGCTGAGTGAGTTTAATTGGAGGAGGAGATCAACACATTCTAAACTTTTTAACCAGTCTCCTTAAAAAGAAGTGAGGTGGATGCAGGAGGAGGAGGAGGAGGAGGATACCTTCTGCAGGTTGATCTCCTCCTGTCATCAGTTACACTCAACACATTTCTTTATTATGTAAGACGGAGAGAGGAGGTGACAGGCGGTTGTTGCCACACAGGCGTCTGTCTCAACCTGCAGGTCTGTGCTCCCAGGCAGTCAGACATCAGCAGGTACACACAAAACCAGGGATTTAAACCTTGATGTGATCCTGGTACAAATCCAACCATAGATACAGGTTTGATACATAGTAACATAAAGAGAAGATTTAGGCACAAAATAACTGGATATTCTTAGTTTGACCAACTCCTGCACACTGCCACGAGTCTCTCTCTTTCTCTCGCTGCAGCCTTTAGAAATAAGACTGAACATCTTAAGTTTATTAAACCTTCTGGACGTATACCTCAGCTGCTCTGTGTGTTTTACATCCTGCATTAAAACAGGAGGATGATGGCAAGAGTTCACCATCGTTCTGTTCCCACAAACTCCTCACAGGCTCCGTCAGGTTCACATGAAGACATTAAGTGTTTTTTAAATCCAGACTGAAGATGCTGCTGACGACAGAGAGATCATTATTCCATGTTCATTGTACCAAGAACAAACCGCTGAACTGTATGTGTGTGTGTGTGTGTGTGTGTGTGTGTGTGTGTGTGTGTGTGTGTGTGTGTGTGTGTGTGTGTGTGTGTGTGGAGGACGCCAGGTGAAATGATTGAGCCTGTTCAGACTTGGGTGAGATGAGCACAGTGGAAAACGCTCATCAGCTGATTCTGTCCTCACAGATCTTAAAACATGAATGTTAGATTAAATGTGCAGAGGAAAGTAGTGTGAGAGACATCCGGGTCAGGTGACCATCACCACGGCAGAGAGAGAGAGCAAGGGGTGACCTGTCAGGTTCATACATCGTGCAGTTGTTGGCGTAATCCCCAACGTGGTTTCCTGCTGCACTGAACGAGATGTTTACAAGAACTTGGCGAGACTTGGCCAGAACCTGAGGTCAGATTCTGCCGACGAATCAGAGCATGGAGCAATGCTATAGGACACGCGCACCCCCAGCAGCTCTTTTTAAGGACACGCCCACCACGAAGCTCTCTCAAATTTCCCTGCAACTGCAAACAGAGCTGGCCAATCAGAGGAGAGTGGGCACGTGGGGAGGCGGGTCTTAAAGAGACAGCAGCTGAAATGAAGCGTTTCAGGCTGAGATGAGGGATTCTACTGACTCCAGAGTCAGAAACATGAGGAGGTTTATAAACCACTCAATAGATGTACCAGACTGACATCATTAAAGGAGAGAGGGAGAATAATAGATCTCCTTTAAAAGATGTCTTTATATGCATGTATATGCAAATGAACAACTCGTCTGTGTGTCATTTTGAAGATTCATATCAGAACGTATCTGAGGTGTCACAAAAACAATCTGTGTGTTCATGGAGCTCTGTGGGGTCAGCGAGTCCCACACACAACGCTCATAAAACCACATTTCTGTTTTTTAATTGGACAAATAAAAAGGAAACAAATCAGTGGATCAGCGAGATGTAGAGGTTAACCAACAGGACCTTTCCAGTCTGGCTGTTTGTCCCTGTTTCAGGTCTTAATGCCGAGCTGAGCCATAAAAACATCACATCCAACTCTCCACTAACAGCTCGTTATTATCATTTCTGTTTTACACCTTTAAATATGAATAACTTTAGAACACTTTACCCCCCCCCCCCCCTCCAAACAAACTTCATGTTGGACACTGATCTGGTTTTCAGATCCTGAGGTGTAAAACACGCTGTGCAGCTTTTACTGGAGCATTGTGGGGGACTATTTGTTGGCCGCGTGCACAAACTTCCAGGAAGTCATTGTGGTTGGCTCATGGCTGCCAGCAAAACCACAACTTTTTATTCCTAATTGTCTTTCTGTGTGGACTAAACAAAGCAGATACAACGTGATGATTGGAGAGAGGTGCTGGAGGACGAGTTTGACACTGTGTTCCTCCTGATTCAGGACGCTATGCTAAGCTAAGCTAAGGTTAGCATAGCATAATCATTTAGTAGACATCTCGGCTTTAAGTTATTCATGAAGCTGAAACTTGAAATGTGTTTTAAACCGTTTGTTTCAGAGATATTTTCTTGTGAATGGATGACTGCGTTTCTGGCAGCTTCCTGGGTGGAGTAAATAAGCAACTGTGATCGTTTGTGCAATGATGAAAGATAAGAGGCCAGAGAAAGGTCAGAGGTTCAACGTTTAAACAATTCGAGAAGTTAAAAACATTTTCTTAAAGGACAGAAAATATTGTGAAAGCAGAGTTTTAAAAGGAGGAGGAGGTGAGGAGGAAGAGGAAGAGGAGGAGAGGAGGAAAGGAGAGAAGGAAGAGGAGGAGGAGGAGGAGGAGGAGAGAGGAGGAAGAGGAGGAGAGGAGAGAGGAGGAGGAGGCGGAGGAGGTGAGGAGAGAGGAGGTGAGGAGAGAGGAGGAGGAAGAGGAGGAGGAGGAAGGAGGAAGGAGGAGGTGAGGAGAGAGGAGGTGAGGAGGTGAGGAGAGAGGAGGTGAGGAGTTGAGGAGAGAGGAGGAGGAAGAGGAGGAGGAGGAGGTGAGGAGAGAGGAGGAAGCGGAGGAGGAGGAGCTGAGGCTGTAGTTTGGTAACTTGTGGTGAGGGTTTCTGTTGGGTGTGTCCGCTCTCTGCACAGAAAGGAGGAAGTAAGAGGAGAGCATTCGCATCTGATGATTACACGAGTCAAGAGGAGCATTTAGAGTGAGTCAGACAGACAGACAGACAGACAGACACACAGACACACAGACACACAGACAGACAGACACACAGACACACAGACACACAGACACACAGACACACAGAGCTGGTATCAAAGTCTGGAAGATGCTGAGAAAAGGATTCTTTTCTAGTAGGGAGTGAGAGCTCTGTCTCTGGAACATCTTACAGGAGATTGTTTCATAAACGATTAAAGTCGATATAAATAAGGACAATCTGAAATGTTGGATTGATGTTTGAAGAAGGTTTTGGAAACTGTTCAGAGAGCAGCATCAGCTCACCTGTCGTCTGCAGCAGGAATCAGGAAGGAGTGTGTGGAGACCATGAATTGATCCATCCAGACACACACACACCCATCTCTGACTCACACAGACTCATAAACCACTTCCTGTCCACCATTAGACCTCAGACTCTGCTGATAACGGTCTTTGTTCCAGAGGGACGAGAGTCTCCCTTTAAGATACGATATCAGAATTTCAAACGTCGATATGATTCAAACGATATCTGCACCTGTTTGATTCAGCAGCAGACAAAGTGTGCACACCTGCACTCTGTCTACACGTTGGCACTGTTTTCATCCCAGGTGTTTTCAAACTATGAATTCTCTGTTATTTCAATAATCAATCGATGTTATCGATACGATTCCATCACGATTATTTTGCAATTTCTGATTTTTCAGTTTTCATATTTGTTTTTAAAGTCGGGTCATCGACCCACATCCTCAACCTGCTGCTGCACGTGGTCATGTCTGTGGCTCTGCAGCGCATCATTAAAAAATAAGAAATTAAAGAATCTGAGGGGACGACTTCTATTCTTTGTCAAAGTGTCAGAACGGGTGTTGATAATATTAGATCTAAACTTCAATCTGATCAAAGTTTAAAATTCTGCTCTCGTATCGACACTAATGAACACAGCTCTCTCTCTTTAGCTCTGAGCAGCTTGGAGTTTAGGACTACAAATCTGTGAATCATTTTAAAACGCATCGTCTGAAGAAGCTCTGAACATCGTGACAACCTAACTGTGATGAAGGTGAGGCTGCTCATGGTTTGGTCCTTGTTGTGTGATCTGGACTCTGGAGAGTAAAGTTAAACTGCAAAGAGCAGCTTGAGTCACTCAGTGTGTGAAGTGTGTGTGAGAACACACAGCTGAGCCCAGACTCTGACTCTGATCAGAACTTCTACTGACTCGTGTTGTGAGTCTGCAGGCAGAGCCCATTAAACCCAGTTTTATGTCACTGAGTTTGAGCCAATGCTGCTGAGCCCCCACCCCACCCCACCCCTCTGCACGACATGAGCACAGACAATAGCCCTGTGTCTCCCTCTGTGTGTGTGTGTCTGTGTGTGTGCGTGTGTGTGTGTGTGTGCAGGATCAGCCCTCTTGTCCCACTAGGCCTGAATCACATCCCGGCCCACAGAGTTTGGCTCGGACCGGCACGGCCAGGCCCTGCTCAGGCATGAGGGGAGCACAGAGAGCCGGGGGCCTCTCTGCAGTCAGACCCCCTCCTCCCAAAACAACACGCCTCTAAAGTGGAGACAAAAGCCGTGCAGCAGGAGAGCAGGAGACGCCTTCTCCCTGAAAACACTCTGCTGAGCTCTGATCCACATTTCAGCTCTCTCCTCCTCTGCAGACTCATGCACTCTGTTACTTTCTGACACTGTGCTTCTTCCTCCACAAAGAAAAGTACACACACTTTGCACACCCCGAGCACAGAGCAGGCAGCAGAGCTCACCTGGATGAAGCTGAAGAAGTTTGCACTCATTCATTAAACTTTCTGCTCTGCACTCTGTGTTTGGACTCACCTATGGACACCAGCTTGATGTTCTCCTTGTCCAGGAACTCCAGCGCCACCGACACGTTCTCCAGCTGCATCTGGCGGAAGGTGGGCCTCTGGTTGTACTTTCTGAACATCTTCTTCTGGGACAGGACCTCCAGGAGCCCGATGAGCCGCAGCCCGTCGCCAGGTCCGTCTGCAGGTTGCCGATCCTCTTGTTGACGCATTTCAGATGCTCGTTACACCAGCGAGTGAACGTGTTCTGCTGGATCTTCTTCCATGGCGCGTCCTCGGCCAGGTCCTTCTCCGTGGCGGGCATTTCTGCGTCCTTGTCCGCTGAGAGAGCGTTTGGAGCGGGCGCGGCGCTCTGGTGGAGCCGGGGGTGTGATCCGCTCATTTTTATGGGCTCGGCTGTCTCTCGGTTCGCTGGCTGCTTTTCTGGGTGGAGTCTGCTCCGCGCTGTGGGCCGCTCCCTCTTTCTCTATCTGAGGCTGTGTTCTCCGTCTGTGTGAGGGAGGCAGAGCAGAGCAAAGAATGAGAGAACATGCGAGAGAGAGACTTATAGCCCGGAGACACAGATTGTGCAGAGAGGAGGAGGTCGGAGCAGAAAAAGGGAGTCACTCCGGATCAAACTGATGATATGTGTTCATGTGAGACGAAGAACACAATGAGTCACACTGACTCAGAGTAAAGATGGCAGACATTAAATACACACTGACTGAAGCTGTGGGGGGGGGGGACTTTAATCCTCCTCACATTTTATAAACAGATGATCAAACTTAACATCCATTTAAATAAAATGCATGTTGGATAACTTTTAGATTCTCCTCAGCAGTTAAACCGTGTTTCACATCGCAGTTAGCTGCACAGAAAAGTTTTTATCTGTGTTACTTTCTTTAAATGTGCATGGTCTCAGGGTCTTGGGGTCTGCGGGTCTCAGGGGGCATGAGGTCTGATCTGTCCTGTGGGATGTGACCCGTCATGAAGTCACTCTGTTGTGTTTGTTTGTGTGTGATGTCTCTGTGTTTGTGATCTTTGAAGGACAGATTGTTTTATTTCCACATGAATCCAAACCTGGAAGAGAAGTTTAAAGATGAGAGAAATCATGATGTCAGGTCTTCCTCTGCATGTCAGACATATTGAGATTGTTTTAGAAGGATGATTGATATTGGTTGAAAACATTAACATCAGGGATGATCTAAGTTTATTTCTACTTTTTAAAAGTGAGAAAAAGTGACTGATGCTGAGAAATATTCCACACATGTCATGAGATTGTTACAGCTGCTTTCAGTGTCTGCAGCGATGTTTCTTTAGTTTGATCAGGTTTGAGGAGTGATGTCACAGCTGGCCTGATGTTCAGTTCATCTCTCTGCAAACAGCACTGCCACATTCTCCTGATGTGTTTCATATCTAAAGCTGTGGTGAAGATGCCAGCATTGAGTAGACTGAACTGTGTGCCTCTCTGCTGTTGACGCATTCAGGGGAAATCCAAATTATTGAAATGGTTCCCCGCATTGAGGTTGGTATGGTTGCCATGGTTACACATAAGCAACAACAGAAGCTGAACTGTCACAAACAAAAAGATGTGTGTGTGACAGATCGAGATCTTATGCATCATGGGGTTTGAAATGTGAGATGTTTAAACTGGACGGTGGATTGAAGAGTTGAGTTGCATCATGGGAAGAGTAGGATTTTAAAGCTTTACCCGGTAACAGTTCTGCTGCTTCAGTCCTCATCATATTCAGATCTTGTATTCATACGTTATGAGAGTACAGAATAATCTGCTGCACATGTTACATGTTGTGTCATGTATGATCAAGTGTGTAACGGATTCTTCTTCTACATGATAAATCTGCATGTGTGTGTTTGTGTGTTTTCTTCTTCTCTCTGTGAGAAACAGACCAGAGGAGACGTGACTCTGCAGCTTTTTGACTAAATAAGGAGCTCAGTGCCAGGAGCCACAGTGTGTGTGTGTGTGTGTGTGTGTGTGTGTGTGTGTGTGTGTGTGTGTGTGTGTGTGTGTGTGTCTGGTCAGGGGAGAATCTGAGGAATGCCCCTCACCCCCATAAAAACCCCAGAGCCTCTGGCCTTAATAACCCCCAAATAAAAGTGCTCCATTAATGTGAACACACACACACACACACACACACACACACACACACACACACACACACACACACACACACACACTCCATGTAGGTGTGTAATTTAGTTTTCATGACATATAAAGTATAAAGTAAAGACTTATGTTAGAGTCAGAGAGAGAGAGAGAGAGAGAGAGAGAGAGAGAGAGAGAGGGAGGGAGAGAAAGAGAGAGAGAGAGAGAGAGAGCAGGAACAATAAGTGTTTCCTGGAAGTGAACAAATAGATGAGTGACGTGTTCTCTTCTCCTTTCTGAAGAATATGTGTCCAGTGAACCGGGGAAGCAGTCGGGGTGGGACCTTTGGGTGGGACACAGGAAGCTGAGGACACGTTCAGATGAGTCAGAAATAAAGCTCTGTGCTCCTCTGGCTCCACCTAGTGTTCACTCCTGCCCTCCTGTTTCTCCTCTTTTCAAATGTACCAAAACCTTCTTTGTCTCTAATCTAAGTCCCCGTCCAAACCACACCTTCAATCACCTGACAAGCCCACTTATACCGAGCCATCCCACTCCGCCCTGTTTGTCTCAGTCATTCTACCCCCCTCCTCTCATCCCTTCATCCTGTTTGTCTAATGTCGGCACAGTCCGGGTCTTGATCAGCTCTGAGACAGACTCCCCGTCCTGAGTCTCCCTCCCTTCAGTCCGTCCTCCTCTGATCTCAGCATAGATTCATCTGTCTCATCCTTCAGATGATCTATCATTAAATATCCTAAACGCAGATTGTTGTGTCATAATGTGTTTGTGTGTTCATGACGTGAGGTTGGAGATCCAGGACTCTGTTGTATTGGTTGCTATGGTTACTGTTATGCATTACTGTTTATGTGTTTCCCCTTGTGTTACGCATTTACTCATACTCATAACGGTCTTTAAATTCCTCCGTTAGTCCAACAACAGTCTGAAACACAAAGACTCTCACCAAAAGCAGCAAATCACAGAAAACACCAAATATTTTACATTCCTGCATGAAAATATCTGAGATAATAATAAATCACTGTTTTTCTTCTAGATTGATTTCTGGGCTTTTCATGCCTCCTGAACTCGGGCCGCCCACCTTGAGGACCACAGCCTGCCTGCACATGAGGCACACAAACCAACAACCAGGCCACCGGCGCTCCCTTCACATGGATTATTAAAGGTCACATATCCTCCTCCTCTTCTTCAGTTTAAATAAGTCTCAGAGCTCCTCAAAACATGTGTGTGAATTTTCTTGTTCTAAATCCACTCTGATCCTGTATTTGATCATGCCTATAAACTCCTCTATTTCAGCCCTGCTCAGAACAGGCTGTTTCTGTGTCTGTACCTTTAAATATGTAAATGAGCGGTGCTGACCACACCCCCTCTCTGGAAGGGCTTGGGTGTACTCGGTCTTTCTCGTTCCATGTCCTATTGTTTACGGTGAGAAGGCAGACTCAGAGGGCAGAACAAACACCTAGCTGTGGGAGTGTCACCCACCTGGGGGAGGGGCTACTGCCCTTTGTGATGTCATGAAGGGAAAATCTCCAAACGGCCTGTTTGAGCACACATTTTCTGAAAAGTGGAGCAGGCAGAAGACGGAGAGGATGGACTTTTCTCATCATTGGGGAGTTTGTAGACAGACTAGAGACATATATTAGAGTTAGAGGAACAGAGAGAAGATGTAATAGAGATTACATCATGTGACTTTTAAAATGAGGGTGCAATGCAACCTTTTGCACCCTCGTAGAACCGGGCCTGTGGGGGCTCATTCCTTCACCATCATGGGAACTAAACTGCACATAGTACAGAATATTGCAGCTCAATCATTAGTGTGTCTAGTGTAGTGAGGAGGTTTAGAGGTATCCCCTCTGGAGACTGAACAATAAGTACCATCTGCTCATCTCGATATAATATATATATATATATATATTATAATATATCACTTTGTCTGAGTTTGAAATGTTCCGTTTTAAAAGTCTTTCCGTTGAGCAGAAAGGTCTCCTCTGGGGACAGGTCGAGGGGTCAGTTATGTAAGAAGTAGCATGAACATGAGAACAGTAATCTTAAAAAAACACATCATCATGTCCGCTCTGAAAGATGAGCCCAGTGTTGTCGAGGTTTAAGGACTCTGATCCAAACAGCTGGAGGACTCAGTAATAAAGTTTAATCCACATCAGGATCTTCATCCAAAACCAACAGAGAGAGAGAGAGAGGGAGAGGGGGGGGGGGGAGAGAGAGAGAGAGAGAGAGAGAGAGAGAGAAACACAGACAGAAAAGAGAGAGCTTCACTTCCTGGATCTACAGAGTCTCATGTTTCTGTATCAGTGAGGTACAGTTGATCGTTCTTATCTGAGGTTCAGATTTTTAGTTTATCTAGTAAACGAGTCAGGCGTAGTTTTCTCATCTTGAACCTGAATAAAAACAGAACCTGGACAATCAGATCAGACTCTTGTGATAATAAAATATTTATTAAAATAAAAGAAACATCTGAAGTACATGTGAGATGTGCTCAGAGACATAACTGTTGTCATACGATGATGATGGAATGACCCCGCTGACCCCTGGAAGGTCAGCACGTTTAAATTCTTTCAAATTAAAGTTCACACTTCTCTTTGAGCGGCTGAGACTTCCTGACGCAGGATTTTAATCCTTAACTTGTATTTTGTTTCATTTTTCAACCCTGTGGGTTTGATGGTCGCTGTAACACGTTGTAATCTGCTGGTTCTCCTTCAGGTGTACTCTGTTATTATTCCTCTAGACAAAGTCCCTGAGGGGGCGGGGCCATCAGTCTCTCCACACATGAGGCGGGGCTAATGGTCAGAGAGGGAGGGGCTCACGTAAATGAAACATTTAAAAAATGAATAAACACGCTGAAAATGTCTGCTTCCTCAGTTTCGGCCAGCAGAGGGCGCTACAGGAGACACAGGGGGGGGGGGGGGCTACACAGGGAGCATGCCAGAGCTATTTGGGTTTCGGTGCCCTGCTCAAGGGCACCTCTGCGATGCTTGGGAAGAGGCCTGGCACCTCCAGCTACCAGACCATCTTCCATATTATGGTCCGCACCAGAAATTGAACCGGCGACCCTCCAGTCTCCAAGTCTCAACAAACTGAGCTACAGCCGCAACCACCCCCCCCACCCCCCCAGCGCTGACACATGCTCAGCAGGTGATCACAGAGAGACACCTGCTGGTTGTCTCCTGTAACTGCACTGACTGTGGGGTCACTTCTCATCTTAGATATGAACCCTCTGAGTCCGTCCTTTAAATCGATTTGTACGACTGCTTGCTGCCGACGTTCTGATG